AAATGTTAAACAGTGGTACATACAACACCTCAGACATTATTCAGCGTCTCCATATGCTAATATGGTAATACAAACACTGATTTACGTCTTGCAGATGCAAAGCTTTTACTCAGCATTAAAGGGTGATTAAAAGGCACACACCTCTCTGGAATAATTAAATCAGAGAAAAATGTATTTTAACTTTCAAACAAAAAGTCAAATATGCCACACTGAGACTGACTGTTCTCTTGTTCCACAATCACAAATTTATGGTACCATGCTATTATGAAGCAAAATCTCTCCTATGAGAAATCCAGCTAGCGTCTTTACACAGACATTTGTACAGAATTCTATTGGAAAACTTACTGAACACCGCACACATACACACACTGAAATTACAATTGCAAACATACACATGCATGACAGCATAGCTTCTATCATAATTTGTATTCTACTGATAACAACAAACATGCTACTTACAAAGTGACTCTCAATGAAATAACTGCAACCATGTCTCCCTATTGTTCACACTGTGTATGGTGAAGAATATTTTCAATGAAAATTCTCACACCCTCCTATTTGCTTTTTTTCTGCTCCTCCTCCTGTTCTGGAGGAGGAGCCTAAAGGAAGGTCATTTCATTCAGCTCTCACTGTCGTCATACTGAAGGCGAAAGGAGCAGAGTGGGAGGGAGGTGGCAGCTGCTTGTGTGCATGTGCACATTTGTGCCAAAGAGCGGGAGAGAAAGATGGAGAGGAAGAGCAAAAACCCAGTGTGCCAGCTTCCATCCAAACAGCTTGACAACACTGCCCTCTCGTGGCCAGCTGTTGATATGACACTGAAGGCTATAAAGAAATAAAATATGTATTTAGGTAAGTGGGTCTTGATGCATGAACCTGTGTTGAGGGTGCTGCTAAAATTAGTTTGTCTGCCTCAGACTTTCTCAGGTAAACCAGGTCATTCCTTTTAAGTAGATAATCTGAGACACTTTTCTTTCATTCAAATTCAAATCTCTGCTAACGGCTGCCCATTTTACCAATTCGATTCACTTTTTTCCACAAGCACAATTCTGTTTGTGAACATCCACCACACATCTGTAAAACTAAACACCAGCAAATATTATAAATATAAACAAAAATATATAACGCTGTCTGACACATGAGTATAAACGGTCCATCTGACCTGAGTGATGCATGAGAAGTGTGGCATTGGCCTTGGCTTGCTGCAGAGCTGACACCCATCGCTGACACTCTCCCTCCGAGGTGGCCTTCAGGTGGTAGCTTCGGCCTCCGCAGGTTAACACCAAGTGGCAGGTGTCACCCACCTCGATGTGTGCTGTTGCCAAGGGAATGGTGCCCCGGCAAGTGTGTGCCATCTCTGCCTGAGTCCTGAGGGAAACCAGCATGAACTGAGATGTTAATAGTAGTGCATGGCAGCAGAACAAAAGCCTCTCACTGCTCAATTTCAATGTGCACCATTTAATACATAAGGAAACTACCATCTGAATAAGTCTGCCAAACAAACAAGCCTCAATGACGAAGCTTTTTCTCTAGAGACGAGCTTTGGATACTCTGGATCCTACATTGTTTGATCATAACATGTACTGTAGCTTAACACTCTGACCTTTTGTCTTGCATGATCATGGCCTACAAATCTAACACAATATAATATAATATAAAACTAGCTAGCGTACTGTAGCTTAACACTGACCTTTTGTCTTACATGATCATGGCCTACAAATCTAACATAATATAATATAATATAAAACTAGCTAGCATTAGGCCATACCTTTATCATTGTGAATACTAAATGCCTTTTGATATATGTTTTGTATAATTGTGGTTATCATATAATCACTGTTTTAACATTATAGGCTACTCTATCACATTTTTAGTTATCTTAAAATATTAAGGTATCAGTCAAATCATATAGCTAGCTTAGTAGGATAACTCTGTAAGGCTCAATTAATATATTTGTAAATCATAAATTGTAATTCATCTTGTAGCCTTGGCTCAGGTGATTCTTGGTGCTTATGTTAAACTAATGGCATCACTCAGGACACTCCCTCTTCTCTACACTGGATGACAGACAAGAAAAATAAATAGTTTTCCCATTTTAAAATAATCACTGATTCAGCAGACTACATTCCGTCATGTTTTTTTTTTTTTTTTTACAGTAACAATCATCAATTTTTGATGTGCAGTGAATAAATAACCTAAATGGTCTGGCAGAGCGCCAACTACGGACTCGGATAGCCTGACCTGTAGTAGGACAGCAGGCCGTTACTGAGGACGAACCAGCGCCGCTGGTAGCCCTTCAGGTAGTTGGTCCATTTAAAGAGCCAGCCCTTGTAGTTATCCAAATACGGCAGCTGGAGCCCCGGGAGAGACGGGGAGGGCAAACTTTTCACCAGCTCGGTCATGTCCTCCTCTCGGCTGTTGCTGTTCCTCCGGCGGGACGGACGGAGAGTCAGTGCAGTTGTTGCCTGTCCACCCCAGCTGTTAGCTAGCTGCGCTGCCACTGCATCATCTGGCTAGAGCCGCCGTTAGCTTGCAGCTGTTTGGTAAAGCTGTGCCAGTGTCCCTCGTTACTTGAAATAGTTACCCGACGCTACTGTTGGAGCCGGGATGAGACAACAAACCACATTAATGCACCAAACCATACAACGTTTTGAGCTCGCACTTTTGCTGTGTGTATTATTAAAGCCGGTGGATGTGAGAGAGGGATCATGATGACGTCCTTATCACAGGGTTGTAGCCTAGGGGTCTGCGTTTGTGGGTCTGTGTGCGTATGTGTGTTGCGAGTCTGTTGGAGGGAGCCTAGAAAAATAGATTGCATTCATTTTAACATCATTGAATCCAAAGTAGTCTACATTCACCGAAGTAAGATACTTGTACTCCAGTACTTTCTTGTACTTTTTTCACCACAGAATGTCATTTTGACCTGGGCCACATCCCCCTCCTACACTAGCTTAATCTTTCCAAAGAGGACTTAATCTTTACACAAAAACTTTTAGATGTTTAAGTGTAGTTTAGTTTTATGCTCATATTTGATTAAAACATCTTAAGTGGAGTGAAGACTGAATGATTTGCAAATTCATGTTTTCAATTGTAATTTCTCTGAAAAGTACATTTATTGTGGAAACTCATTGGAAGATTTTCTCATAAAAATCAGTTTTAGTGTGGTGACTTGTCAAAACAGGTCAGTGTAACAGCTCAGATAAAGATACCATAACTGCGGCCAAGACAAAAGCCCTGCACATGAAACACTACAGTAAGTTAAAAGTGAGTAACTGATTATCAATAAAATCAGTAAATGAAAGGGCTAATAAATTGGCACATGGAACATGAATGTTTTATTTGCTTACATTTCTCAGAACACATCAAAATGATAAAATATTAGACTCTTGTACAGACAATAATTTAAATAAATACCACGATTTATTACCATTAAGAAATGCAATAAGTAGTATCATCAGAGAAAGACCTAAGGCTTCTTGACTTTTGCTGGAGTTACAGGGGAAGCTATGTTTAAATAAATGCATTAATAAGTAGAGAAGCAAACAGCTAATGTTGATTATTTTCATTTGGCATCATCATGGTCATTAGTGAAAACCTTAAATTGTACAATCATTTCTGCAAAGTGCTTTGTGACAAGATGCCTCACAAAAAGGATGTCATTTTTTGTTTTTTACCTAGACTGTGATACCCACAGCTTTTCGTCCCTCACATGGAGAAGTAGTAAAAAAAAAACTGCCAAAAGCTTTATATGATCTTTGATATATATGCATTTAAACCTTACCTTGTACTGCTGAACTGTTCATTTTAAACACCATGTTGTAGATAATACAAAACCAGTTTATCTAGCACAATGCAAATCAAATATTTAAATTCACCCAACTGTTGTGACAAGTAGTGTTGAGCAGTATCTCATCTACAAAATGTAATCATGAACAGAACAAGGACTTTGAACCTCTGTGTGTTCAGAGGTTTGCTGGGTACAGTGTAATAAGGCAGTCAGCACAGCCAAAAACATTTTAAAAATCTTCACCTTGAAAAACGTTGCTACAAGAGTGAGTCTCAATCCGCTGTCTCGCAGGTTTGTTGTCGTTATCACAGTGTGAATCATTCCAGCATCTTTTCTAATCAGAAAGTCTCCTTCTGCTCATATCCTGCACATCAGGGTCCATATCTTTAAAGCAAGCCATCTTGCTCAAAAACAGAGGGTAGAAGGGAGAAGTCGAAGGGCACAAACTTGACTCCAGTCCCATGATAGAATTTGTTCTGAAATTCCACCCTGAAACCATAGTGGAAGCAAGCAATGCACTTTAATGTTGGCAGAATAAATGATGAAGAAGGTGAAGTTAAATAGGAAACTGAATAAAGCGTGTGACACTGAAAACAATTCTTAGCATTCAAACATAATATTGTACTTTAATGTTATAAAGTTTCTAAAAAAAATCACTGATACTATCATTCAATAGTTAAAGGTGAATAATACAGCCGATAAAATCCTCTAGAAAAAGTCAAAATAGTAACATTAACTGCTTTATGCTGCTTTACAGAATAGGAAATGACATCAGTTTAGCTCCATTACAATAAGATCAATAAGATTCAATCCAAGACAGTATCTACTGAGCTAGGTTCAATCCAAGACAGTATCTACTGAGCTGAAGAATGACTGTGAACATCCAGATCAGTTTCTATGACTGAGACTCACCAGTGAAGGCGGAGAGCATGGAGGAACGCCGACAAGCCTTCCATGACTAGTAGGATAAACACTGTGAGTGTAGCGAAGAGGCCGAACACAGGGAACAGAAACACTACCCCCACTCTTGTGGTGATCCTCAGACCTAGGCGCATCACCATGGTCCACAACACCTCCGACAGCTCTGAAACCAATAAAAATAAATAAAGATGTCATTTGATTAGGGAACCACCCGGTGGAGGTGCGCCAACAAGGAAGAAGAAATCATTTCTAATTCATTTCAAATGCCCATTCTATGTTTAAAAGCCAGACACTGACATCTCATATGCCTATTACTTTGCTGAGGGAAACACCAATTCTGCTCACACTACACTAAACACCTAATACTGATTACAGTATTACAGGAGATTACAGACAGACTGCAGAAGGACACTCTGCTGGGGGCTGACTGTCTTTGTCCTGTTGACTCCTGCTTTTGCAACCCTGCGACTAATTTGCTTGTGCTGCTGTGTAGGATCACATACAAATAACCAAGTTACTGTATGATGCAAACAGGAGCCACACCAGGATAAATCATAATCAGGATATGGATAATACTGTGTGTGTGCAGCTATGTAGTCAGAAGGTCAGTAGGTTTAACAAAAGCTTATAATGAAAAACAGTAATCTTCTCCTATTAAGTGAATGTAATTGATGCCTACAGAAAGGCAAATCCAGGCATTAAATTATTATCAGCTATAAATCCAGATGTTTGCTCTTGGAATTATGGCAGCCAAAATCACCAACACTGAAGGCCTGCCTCTGTAAACGAGTGACCCACTGAGTCAAAAATATGTAAAAATAGCACTTTCAGTTGTTATATAAGAGTAGCAGTGAGCAAATGGAGAAAGTCATTTAGCATGCATTTCAGTCATATTTCGTAGGTAACCTGATTACATTTTACGGCTGTACTTACGGGCATGAGCCAAGCTGAGCGCCCAGAGACGCAGGTAGGACGCAGTGTTGGAAATGCAGCCCAGGCAGTACTCTATAGTGTGAATGGCCTGGTGCAAGAGCACATCTGCAAAGTCAAACTGTAAAACAATTCAAATAACACATAAGAAACCCCGCTTCTTGATACTGATTAGTTTTCCTCTTATAACCACAGCCCATCTTATCATAATCTGTGCAAAAAACCACTCATGCAGCGTACACCTCAAAATGTCACATGCACCATTCAAAAGACAATTTCAGGCAAATGGCAGAATCCCACAAGATCACATTCACACATAGGCTGACTATGTATGACATGAAGTGACTGAAGGTTGCATACTGCAGCTTGAAATGTAACATTTATCAGACAGGACCTCTGACCTCTTTGGGAAGAGTTTCCTTGCCACTCTTTTCATCAAATTCTTCCTCTTCATCATCTTCATAGGACGGTGCTGCAGAACTGTCATCCTCACTTACACGCCTCACCCTCTCATAACCCTGAGGTGGGGCAACAGTATTGTTTTTCATAAAAACTGAAAATGAATCTTTTGACTAGACATACCCTGAGTCTGCGCAGGCTTTTACCTCCACGAAATATCCAATACAAGTAAATAGGTTTTCCCAACAGCAGCACAGGAACTGACAGCATAGCTATGGCAACTAAGAGAATCTGCAGCCCAGTCTGTGGAATCAAGATAACAAACACATGCACTAGGTACACTCAGAGCTGATAAACAGATAAACATTTATAGATGATACTGATACCTGTCCTGGGTACAGAGGAGTGATCTCCTGCCCCTGCATGACGAACATGTTTATGAAGTGGATGAGGATGCTGGGAGCCTGGTTGGAGTCTCGTGCACAGAATGCCAACCACTTGTAGAAAATCATGAAGACCAGGTAGCCAAAGAGACAGAGCAGGAAGAGCAGCTCGGGAATAAATAGCAGATAGACATTAGATTTCTGTTGGAAGTGCCTGAAGGGAGAGAGCAAAGTATGGGAATAAAGAAAGTTATATAGTGGTGATTATAATGAGTAATGACTGGACCTCTAAGTGCTTATCAAAAGAATAGACAGACAGGTTTTTTATTCCTAAAAGAAAAAATGACTGATCAAGACCTCTTTAAACCAAAGCATATGTTTTTCTGTGGGAAACCTCAATTTTTACTTAATTTTGTCTGTCAGTGATATTCTATATTCTTGTTAATGTCAATAAATCTCATTTAAAAATCCAAATTAGTGTGTGTTAATCCTGTATATTTTTGTCTTCCCCAGTCTGTCAGTGGCTCTCATCCCCAAGTGCTTTCTACCAAATTAATAAACCTTTAAAAACTGGTCATGAGTATCATTTTAGTTTTTGAAAATGATGAACACTTAAAACGTTCACTCTAGTTTTTAGCAAATATTACATAAACAAGAGCAACAAGGTCCACTTGAAAATATTTCTGGCTTTTGAACAAAAATGGAGCTCCATAGCACCGAGCAATAAGCTGAATCAGGCTGTGATGACACAGACTAATACTTAACAGGTGGAACAATTTGTTGTTGATTTTGGTTACGTCAAGATATTTGTTGACAGTAAGAAGAAATATCACATATTATCCTTTAACTGAATTGACTTTATACCTCTGCTCTGAGCTGCATGTTTGTTTCAATTACACAATCTACTGCTAATTGAAGGCTCGCTCAAATATTGAAATAAAATACATTTGACAAAGTTATTCAACTTAATTTCATCCAGTAGAACCATCAATACTGGCTAGTATGTGTAGCTTACTGTAGCCTAATAGGCTGCAATGTAAGTATAAAAACAAAAGTTGTGGCAATTGTAGTGCTGTATCACAAGATATTGTAACTACCATAAAATTCCAAGCATAGTGCACTGAATATATACCTTAAATAGTCCCAAAATGAATATTATCACTAATGGATGCCCATGCTGTAAATACATGAACAAAGGTGATAGAAGGTTACTGACATGGACCTATATCTCTTGAGTCACTCACAAGTGATTGAAGACACTCAGCACTACTCCAAAGCTCATGTGGATGACCCCAATAATAACTGACATCTTCATTTTGTAGGAGTTGAGGAAGGACAGTCGGTTCACCGCCATGTTCCATATCTGATGTAATATTAAAAAGCATCTCAGTGAAAATGATACAGGAATTAGTCAGTTATATTCTGACTGAAATGTGTGTTTACTCACAGGATCAATGCCAAATGGATATGGTCCACTGAAAACATCACTAATATTAGGGTCTAATGTGAGCAAAGCATTTGTTTGGAGTGTTTTGTTTCTGCAACATAACAAAGACAGGCATCAATTATTAAAACCTGAAGCACTCATTAAAGCACCACAAACACTTAGATACAGTATTTAAAAATGAAATCTGTATGTGTGTGTAACTAACGTCCACTGCTGACTTGTGAACATAGCCTTGATGCTCCAGCCAGAGCCAAATATGTTGAGAGACTTAGAGAAACAGTCATTGTAGATCAGCCCAGTGTAGACGGAGAAAAGTCCCATCAATAGGATGATGTAACGCCCGCTGAAAAACATTGCCCAGATCTGGGAGCAACAGAAACACAGCTCTCAGCTACAACTAATTTTGAATAATTCAATTCTGCAATATGAACAAGGGGAACAACTCATTCCTACCTCATTGTTGGAACGTTTCTTCTTCTGCTTTTTCTCTGTCAGCACCATCCATAAGGCAAAGAGACTCATTACCATCCCGTGCCCAAGGTCACCAAACATCACAGCAAATAAAAAAGGGAATGTGATGATGGTGTAGGGAGCTGCCAGGCAGAAGAAACATACTCAGTGTACTTACTCTGAACGTTTCCAAAGCAAAGATAACACTTTATTGTTCTTTGCAAGACGTAGTACGAGTTCTTACCTGGGCTTACCTCGCGATAGTCCCCCACCCCATAAGCCTCCACAATGCTCTGAAAGCCAGATGTGAACTTGTTGGTTCTTAACATTGTAGGAGGAGTGTCAGCGCTTGGGATGAGGTTCACAAAGGATGGTACAGTGGCATCACCTTTTCTCTGATGATAAAAGACATATACTGTATGTAAAAATGTAAGAAAGTGAAGGATTATTCTGAAATTGTTACTGTAAGAAACAGTGTTAGAAATTAACAGGAGCTCAGAGCAAATGTGTGTTTGAAATGAAATGATGTTTTATAGCTCTTTTCCAACAGCCAATAATTTAAAATACAGATGGGTCCAGATCTGGTCATTCAAAAGGCCTGATACCAGTACTGAGACAACAGAAAGAAAATATATCTTTGTGCTACAGGGTCAGTGCTTAACAGTTACTGAGGAATGCCAAATCAATCAGGAGGCCAAAAATGATCCTTCCAACCAACTCAAGAGACCAAAAACCCTCTGAACAAGAGACCTTTCTCTTACCCCTAAATCCAATCAACTACTGCAATTAGTCAAACACTGTCTGTCCTGGCATTATAATTATTACTGGGATTATTGAGGCCAATTCTAATTTTAGTTTAGTATTAAGAAGATACACTGATTCTCTGTGAAAAATGTCATTTTGAAGCATACTGTGAAACTGAAGGATGTTTTCTATCTGTTTGAAATGAATATGAATTAAAATGATTTTGGTCCCAACAATAGATTAATAAAAGCAATAATCAAAAAATCACAATAATAATCAGCCTTTATACTTGTTCAATTTTTGCATAATATACTTTCTACTCACCGCGCCCTCTTCCAGCGCCCCCCGTAGGTTTGCCAGGTCACTGACAGGACACCACACCTCAGCTATCAGACACTTATTGGTAACATCAAAGCTGCAGAGGTTGAGGATATGATATATAGCCTTCATCTTTTTCACCTGCACAACCCAGGAGTAGGCTGACTCTGAAGCCTTCTGCAGGACCTGCCTCAAGTAGTCCTCAGTGCGATGCAGCACCTGCAGGAAACAGCAGCTCTTACAGCTCACAAAGAATGTGACTATGTGTTAGATGTCCCTGCCTGAATCAAAAGCTGTCATCCTACATTGTTAAGGTCCTGGATGCGAGTCCTTAAGCTGTCCAACACATCTGCCCTCTCCTCATCATTCTCAGGGTGTGGATAAAGATGGCAGTGGTAACTGAGGACAACAGAGATACCAGTGAAGAAGAATATATCAGGTATTGACAGATAAAGATATATGATGATGGCATCCTTACCAATCGCAGATCTTTTGAACTTTCTGTCCAATCTGGTCTCCCCAGAAAGAGATAAGAAACACAACACTTTTGTTTATCTCACCCTGAAACAACACAAATCAGACATGTTATTACAACAGTCCAAAAAAAAAAAAATCACAATATCATTTGAATATATATACATATTGATATATCAAGTACATCCTGGTCAGTGGAACCCTCTTACTATAATATTAAATATTCATTAATAAATACATTTTGAAACAGAAGGAATGATACATCATTTCTAATCACAACTTAATTTCAACTCACAGTGTCCAGATCAGCCAGGTTCTCATCTACTTCTGCATAGCTGAGGATGGTGTAACCCTTACACACTCTCCACAACATACGCTCAAAGGCCTCAACCTTCACCCGCTGGATAAGACCTGAAACAAACCTACAGCCAGAAGAGATCCCATTACATTTAGGATTTATATTTTAGTAACACCTGCACCATAAACACCATTACGTGGCTGTGGATGACACATTGCAGCTCACCCTAGCTTGGCTCCAAGTCTCTGCATACCAGTGCATCCTGTGACTGAGTCTGTTTCCATAGTGGGGAATTCTTCATACTGGGGACCAAGAGCCTCATGCTAGTTATAAAAAGGAATATGTTTCATTCATGATAGCTGACAGTAACTGATCCTTAAATGAAATTCTACACAAAGTCAATGTGATGTTCACACACTTGAATGTGATCTCACAAACCCGTCTGACACAGACATCATTTTTGCTCTTTGCTGTATCCCTCTTTAACACGGCAGCCTGGCTGAGTCGGGTGCTGCTTGTAACGGCTGCATTGTGATCATGTCATTATTTAAAGCCAGCAATAGTTCCACCTCTGTCACGCAGGGAAGCAAAACACATCAGTGACAAGAAAACAAGATGCTGCTGGTGAGGTGACGGGAAGCATCTTGACTGTGGTGCAAATAGAGTGGAACCATAAAAGTAATATATAACAGATGCTTGGTGAGGGCGATAAATGACCAGCTGAAGAGAAACACTCTTACTCTAGAGCGGCTATGTATGAAGGTCCCCGTGATCTTCAGCATGTGCGTGTACTCGGTGAGCTCCAGGAGGTTCCTCTGCAGCTTCTCTTTATTCCTTGCCACCTCGCTGAGCTCCATCTCCAGCCTCTGGAGCTGCTCCTGAACACCACATGGTACACCAGCTTAAGTCTGAATTCAACAGTGAAAGGCTAACTTAGGCTATGGCTACTCAAAAATCTATGTACATTCTGCTGAACTGCACCTACAAATGACAATTATGGGATAACATTGTTGTCAATGCTGAACCATTGTTTAAACACCAAGCCATTGTAACAGTGGCAGCAAGTTGAAAAGAGTCATCATGACAAGCAAATGACTCTGTAATGTTCATTATCCAGCAATATTACTGTAAGGTCTGCTAATGCGAGATACCCTAGACCACTGGTTATACCAGATAAAGTAAGGCTGTAGCAGTGAAACCTTTGAATGTCCTGAAATGAGCAGCAGTGTGTTTTATTGTGTATGAATTCAGCTGTTGGTTTGTAAAATGAAGAATCTGTTATTTCTTTTCTCAAAGGTTACACAGTTTTACTTTAATGTACCAGATAGATAGATAGATAGATAGATAGATAGATACTGGATGTTCACAGGTTTCTGTTAGGCTGCATTGGCATGTAACCCAATATAACACATTTTGTACTACATAATAGGCAAGTATTTCACATATGCAGCAAAAAATATATAGGATAATGAAAAAAATTCCAAATGAAAATAGGAAAGTGCACAATCAGCTGATGTGCTTACATCCTAATATCACAGATATGATGATGTTTTGGGAGGACACCAATCAGTAATTTAGTCACTACCCCTTAACTCCAAGTCAAGTCTCGAGTCCCCAGTGTTTGAGCCAGAGTCGAGTCCCCATTACCCGAGTCATCATGGTCTCCATTACATACAACTGACACAGCCCTCACCATTTTAAAAATAGTTCACTTACCATGTGTTACACAATAGCCAAACAAATGCACTTGTAAGCATATATATATATATACACACACACACACACACACACACACACACACACACACACACACACACACACACAACTTAGAAGTGAACAGTGTGAATTTGTTACAGCATGGGGTGGGCAAACAGATTTAATATCAATATGCCAAATTATTAGGGCCTTTTACAGAAAATGTTAGTCCTTGTCTCCAAATTCTGAGTATAAATTCAGTCAACACTTGAATCTGAGTTCAAGTCCAAGTCATCAGTGCTCAAGTCTAGGACTCGAGTACGACAAAAATGACCCCAGTTAAAGTATATGGTTTGCATGTGTTAGGTATTTTTAGTCAGATAGATATTGGTCAGATACTTTATGTATTAGAAATGTTTTAGAGTAGTCAGGATGTCTAGCTTAGGCTGTTAAATGCTTACTCATTTTCATGAGTTACTGCAGGATGCTTATGGTCAAGGATAACTAGATAGAAAAGTGGATGACTGTCAACAGACAGAATGTTTAATATTATTATTATGACGTGTATAACTGTAGCCATAGTCATAATATGTTCTTATGTTTAACCTCTAGAGTCCCTGCGTCCTCATATGAGGACCAAAAATGCATATGAAACCAAAGCTCAGGACTCTAGAGGTTAATGTTAGGACATGTCACTAGAGGTCGTGTTAGAATGTTTTTTAGCTACACACCACATAATCAACAGACATTCACACATTGATTTTCCTCATGTTTTGGCTACTGCTCTGGCCAGCTGTAAAGCTGTCCCTGGGAGACGCTGCGGCTTGGCGTCTCCTGTTAGTATGGGATTAGCCCGAGGCGATATAATGTATAGCCCTGTTGGGTTCAGGGTCTTTCATCTTTCAGCTGCCTGCGTGCATGTTAGAGGTGCAAGATACCTGAGCGTGTAATGTTAATTTTTACCTGTGTTCATTGAATAAATCACTGTTTTGAAGCTACTTGGACTGCCTCGTCTCTCAGAGTTAGCATGGTAAAGAGAACCGACTGCAACACATGTAAGCACCATATTCTAGTTTCAGAAACCAACTCATCACATCCTCAACTTGGATTGTGTAGCAGTTACCAACAGGAGTGGTAAATGCAGCAGAGTCCAGGCGGCTAAAAACTACACTGGATTCTCAGCTGAGGAGGTGACTCAGTTGGTGCAAATGTTACAGAGGTGTGAGCTTCTAATCCCATTGTTGTGACAGTTAGTCTAAACTCACACTGTGCAGACACAGTTTATTTACACCCACAGAGCTTTATATTAAATTTAACAGGAGACCTTAACATTACCAAAGACACCTAATATCCCAGGATAGAAAAAAGAAATCGAATAACTCAGAACATCTACAATGTTTCCATTTGATGGATCAGTGCAGACATAAAAATGCAGACTTGAGTTTGAACATTTCACTCAGTGTAAACATCATGTAGATTCAATGAAAAGCTGAAACAAGGTAATACTATACAGTATAACACATAATACATAATATAGTCAGACAGTATAGAATGAGATGATTTTCCATCCATAAAGCTACTTAATGGGGAAATTAAAGGAAACTGGACGTTCACAGGACTCATCGACAAGTGTGCACTGTGGCAGACATAAAAAAAAAAACCTGTATACAGAGCTACGTTTTTCTCATGTAAATGACATATGCAAATATGATCAAACCTATAGAAATATAGTCAACAATATGTGATGAAAAGTGGGCAATTTGATAGTAAAATGAGGTTAATAAGACACTTACCATGATCTCCAGGACTTGTCTGGGGGGAGGAGCCAGTGGACTCTCATCCTCCTGTGGGATGGCGATGTGAGCCTTTTGGATCTCCCTCAGAAGGTAGCCTGTCAACAAAAAACGCTGACACTTGGTTTGATTGTAGTTACCACTGAAGAGCTGTTAAACAAGCTGTGAAATCTAAATCTCTGAGGGACCATTTAACAAATCACAGTCAGATGTGAGCTGGTTACTACCCTAATGATTAATAGTTCATGTGTATGCACATGAACTATCCCAGGTGCTCTGGCCTCTTACCCAGAATTCTCTCCATCTCCTCACATCTCTTGATTTCGCTGACAAAGCGCCGCTGGAAGGAGCTGACACTGGGGTTAAGCTGAAACCAGAGGATCATCACAGGTCAGGTGGCTGCAAGTCACTGCATCATGCATGTGCAATAGCAAGGATTACTGTGGCATATTGCTCACTTGTCTTAGACAAATTCTAATGTTGTTAGCTATTGTTTAAATACTGTTAAAAATGAATTCCTCTCCCTGAGCCAAGTGCAATGTGAAGTATGCTGAGCTATATTTTTAGAGGTTATGTGGCTAAAATGTATATGGATGTGAATCATACTGCAGAGAAAGATATTGTTTGACTCTTTCCATGGAAACACTGAGTGCACAAGAACATTTAGGCATATTTCACTATTTGAAGATGCCTTATTCTTAAAACACACAGCTTACGCAATCAGAAAATGAGGTGTGGGGTAGAATCAATTTATTGTGTATTTTGATAGGAAAACACGTAATTAAGCACAAAGCCTTTGACACGGGCGGTAGAGTTCACACAGATGAGTGTTGGTGCATCATCAGCCTTTCTACTTACATCTCGAAACTCGACCAGCCCCAGCTCTCCGAGCTCTCTAATGCAGTCATATTCAGAACCGGACTGCAGGAACAATTGCGCCAAGCACATCTCCTCACTCCGAAACACCATCTTTATCTGCGAGACAATCAGGTCTGCTCCGCTGCCTGCTGATCTGCCTGTAGCCCAGTGAACCTGGACAACGAGCCGTTCACTACACTCGAAAATGGGACATTACACAGCTGAACGAGTCGAAACGTGGCTTTAACCCCCTTAACCAATTAACTTGGCCCCGAGGATTAATTATTGTTCATTAACATCGCCGATTTTCAGAAAGGAAAAAAAATCCTCATTCTGTGTGTGGTTGTCGCACCGTTCTGTCCCCCTTCAAAGCCCCCTGGTGTCTATTGAATATAAAATATGAACACAAAGACAGAAACCTCCCTGGTGCACCTTTTGCATCGAGCGATCACAGAGAAAGGCGTCATCCTGTGCGCTCTAACTTGAAAACCTGTCATTACAGCGCAAAAACACGGTGACGATGCAGCGATGGTCGGCCACAAACACGCAACAGGAAAATTAAAACATAAACCATAAACCTGCCATGTAGACAAACGGGGTTAAACGCAGCCTCACAGGCTTAAAACCCCACAGTCAGAAATAGGATACGGCCTTTATTCGCGCTACGTCGCCCGGCAATTGACACAGATTGCGTCTCCGGGTTGCCAGATATTGTCGCATCCCCTGAAATAATCGGATTTTTCTTGGTGTAAAAAGAGAAGGTGCAGTTGGTATTGGTTATTCGTTGTAGTTTATATTTACCTAAAACAACTAGTGTAATGGGAAATTTATATCAGCGCCCATTTTAGTGCGTTGGCTGTTGCTATGTAGTTATTCTATGCACAGCACTAGGTAGTGTTCCTGCAGCTGTATGACACTGGGCCTGTGTTATAGCCTAATTAACACCAAATTATAATGAACAAAAATGTGAATATTAAGTATTTCATTCCAAAATGATACACTATTTTTTCACTAGAACTGTTGTGGTTACAGCAACATTCCATTTTAACATTTTGTTGTGATAACCTATTGCGTTACAAGTTTATTGATAGACTTTAGTTACATTTTGCTTTTTATTAGGGGTAATTGTAGCCCTACTATACCCACATTTAGGTCGCAAACAACTACTTTCAGTCCCATAATCTGCGTTTTAAATTATGCTCGTGGACAAAGAAAAAGCGGGGATTGGCTCCCAAACCTGGCAACCAACGCATCTTTCTGTTCCATCACTGAAAGCGGACAGGCCATCTGCTATTTGTATGTGAAAACCTTTACTCAGTGATTTTTTTGATTGTGTAAATTGAATTTTTACAGCACATTTTAATAAAACCGATCAACTGTACAAACATCATTTTCATGACTACATGTTCCTGGAGTAGGCCCACATGACTCAACACAAATATAACTCAGGGTTATAATCTGAATGATGCCAGATATATTGTTTTTATATAAGGTATTACATAAAGTGTTCAATCCAGGATCAAAACCACTGTTTTAATTATGTAAGCGCACACTGATATTTCAACAAAACTGTAATCAGATCAAACAGAGATACAAATATTCATTTTTACATCCTAAGACTCTGAACCAGTCTGTTGAGCTCTTGTGACAGAGCTGTGACAGTGTCCATGATCCTCTGCTTGTCCCTCTTCTCTAACCGAGCTTCACATCTCTGAGCAAATTTATCAGGATGCCAGAGCACTTGCTGCTTCAGGAGCACTTTACGAAATGCCGGAATGTCGTTTCGGTCCACGCCGTGCAGCATGACATCCACCATCTCCTGCACTGTACCCCGCAGAGCTGGCCAGGGGATGTCACTGTAGCTCAGCTTTGTGCTGCCAGCTGAAGAGCCACCATGAAAAGTAGCTGCGCACTTCTCATCATACTGCAGTTTCTTGCTCTGCTGAATCTCTTCCTCTTTGCGTGCAGCACGAGCAAGATACTCTTCATGTTCCTTCTGAAGCTTTTTAAGTTGCTCCTTATGGCTTTGCTGTCTTTGCTCGCTGTCATGATTAGTCTTCCTACATTTACATCCAGAAAATTGTGCTGCCCGTCTCTGGGCTTCAGCATGCCTTTTATCGAAATATTCTTTCCTAATACGATCAGCCCAGGCCCCAAAGTCTTCACAGTCAGGAAGAAAATCATCAGCTGTGAAACAAATACAGCAGTGTTATTATCATCAGGGGAACGTCTAAATATATTAAAGAAGGAATTTAAAATTTACCTTCATATACTTCAAAAGTTGTACAGAATGAATCCATCCATTCACCCAATAGCTTCTTCTGCCATTCCCTCTCAGGGTCAGTTTCAGGTGGAGGGCTCATGTCTTCTTCAGTCTGTGAAAGATGCCAGGAGATAAATGCAATGTGATCCACTGCAGATCAAATTCTCATCTGCGTACATATGATGATAAAGAACCATGCCAGGTTTTTGCAAGCTTTATTCCTTCCTCAACAGATCACTTCACTAACTATTTGGGCATTTATTCAAAAATGTTTTCTTTGATTGGTAAATGAATTGTTATCTCTCTCATTGCAGCATCTCTAACGTGAGGATTTCATGTATTGCAAACTGAATATTGTGGCATTTTGGACTATGTATTGGATTTAAAAAAAAATCAAGTTATTTCCATGGACTGTGTCAAAATTACCTCAAAAACACAATGTTATTAGCATCTCACTGCCACAGTATCTTGGCTGTAATATAATAATATACACAGCAGTGATGAGATAAGCCGATAATATCATAACTGTCTGTCAATTAACCGATTAGTTGTTTCAGCTCCATTATCACAGCTAGCAGAAATATTGGCCCAATCTATTATTGGTTGACTACGAGAACACCCAATGCAAACTGTTTTGATAAATGTCATTTCCAAAGTAGAACTGCTAATGTTATTGTCAAGTTCCAACCTCTCCAAAGTGATGACTTCATACTTTTGATCCAACGAATCAAGCATTTTGCTTATTTGACATTTGATGGACTTAACAGTTACAGTATATATCTCTCTAGTTTCTAGTAACAGCTTCACACTACTGTTTACCTCTCTAACGTTATGTCTTATGTTGCTCAGCAGGTCTTCAGGAGTGACTCCACAAATGTTGGGGGCGTTCATAGCCTCCGGACAGCGCTTTATGAGGGGCACAACCAGGTCGTCATAGGCTGAAGGAAGACCAACACAAAGCCAAGATAAAAACAAATGCCAGCTAACTTTTATAATTAAACGCCCGCTGACTCCACTGTCCTCACCTGTTTTCCCGTGTTTAAGAACCTTGTTGGCTGCTATGTGTAGCGCTGTGTCGCCTTTACGGTCCTTCTGGAGAACACTGGCTCTGTGTTTCAGCAGCAGCCGCAGCATAGCATCGTCTCGCAGGCTGCAGGCCCCATGCAGCGGGGCCCCCCGCTTTCCCTGGGAGAAGTTCACATGCAGATCCCGGTGTTTCCGCAGATACGACTTCAGTTTCAACAAACTGCCCTCCTCCACGTACCTCCACACCCGCTTCTGTTTGCGAGACGACATGCTGTGGTAGTGACACTATTGAGGTCACTAGCAGTTATTTATATCAGTTGGTTTCGTTAGCTTCCAAAGGCCGAACAACCGAGGAACTATGTTTACATAGCTTAGCCCGGTCCTCTTTCTTAATATTTCCTGGCCAGCAACAACTCAGACACCAAGGTTCCGGTAAGAGGATGGTTCCGGCGGTGTCGCTAGATGTCGCAGACAGAAATAACATTACACCGGGATGGTTTTGTCAGTAACATACCTTTGAAAACGATTGGACGATTGTGGAAAAATTGTCTTTTAAAGCTCAGCGAGTGTAAAATAAATACTTAACATCAATTCTGAAAGTTATTACATATTTATTTCTGCAGGAAGGAGTGTTCTCTGAACAGAGTGGCTAAACCAGTCTGCGCAATGGACAGAATGTGACCGCCCTTCTCATACTCAGCATACAATAACAGAGAAACAGATGCTCAAACAGATAAGGGAAACAGGATACTGGTTAAAACAGAATACAAGTTATCTAGTTCAGCATTCACACAAAGGCATGCTTATCACTACAAATATGCTGACACAGGCACAGAAATAACTGCATAGAATAGCAACAGTCAATACTGTAAAAAGGATGCTAATATAAAATTCCCACTACAGAACTTACCTAATAAATGTATTTTAATTAATAAGTTAAATTACTGTATAAATATTATCCTGTAAAAACTTTTCTGTTGTGCTCCTGTAACTACATTGAAATATTTCAGTCAGACATATTTGCTTTTATTCAAAGTAAAATCTCAGTCAATCAGTTTTCTTTCTCCTTTAAAAACATTCAAGGATGATGATGACAAAATACTTTCTAATAAATAAATAATAAATACTTTATAATACATTTAGTTATTAATTGCAAAATATATTTATAAATGTAAATTTAATAATTTAAAACCTCTCATGGCTGCCTTCATAAAGGATATCAAAAGATACTTAGAAAGTATTAAATTCTCAAAAAATACCAAAGCTGGTAAAATATTATGCTTTTATGAAACATATGCTATTGAATTCTAATTTATCTCTTATCTTTATCATGCCCCTTTACTGTGTTTATTTCCCCCTCACTATTTTCCTTTGTTATATATTATTTAATACTCTCCTTGTGCTCCCTGCCTTTGTTTAGGTTTGTTCTGTTTTCTCATTGTTTTAATAAAGAAACATATTTAAAACTTAATTATTAATGAATTGATTGATTTAAAGGCAAGAAGAAAAATAAGCGCAATGACAAATCTGTTCATATATATTGTAACTTCTGTTTATTATTTCCTATAATTCCAATTATTTTAATTTACTCTTCTCTCTGATAAGGAGCTATGCCTTGCTTTTGTTTTGGTTGGAGGAGATGGTGCAGGTCACCAGTCTATCACAGGGCTGACATGAAGACAAACAACTACACACACTCGCTCATGGGGACAATTTAGAGTCTCCAATGAACCTAAGCTGCAGGTCCTTGGACTGTGGGAGGGAACCAGAGCGCCCAGAGAGAACCCACACAGGCACTGGGAGAACTTGCATAATCCACACAGAAAGGCTTGAACCAAGAATCTTCTTGTTGTGAGGCGACACAGAGTCTCACAGTAGATTGTCCTTGAATGCCACCTTATGTGTAAATAAGTACTGTCTGATTTACAGTAAACAATTAATTGGTTAATTAAAACTTGTATCAGAAAACTGCCATCCATGCCATCTGAAGATGTCAGCTTTGGCTCTGAGACCTTGCAATGGATTTTCTCCATTTCATTACTTTCTGACATTATATAAGAAGGCCAGAGAACAGGAGCACATCTACAAATTGTCAGAAGGTAACCAGGCAGAAGACACACACGTTTATTTCCACTCTATACCTGTTGTCACACAAAAACAAGCCTTGCAGCAAATTCTGACACCATCTTCAAATGAACTGTCTCTAAACCTGTCTTTTTATGTTGCAATGTAATAAACTGAAATGATTTTTCATGTAACAACTGAAGCATCCACGTGTTTTCCAGGGGTTTAACTTCATTCTAAAATACATAATAAACCAGTTAATAGAATCTCATTGATATGGTCTTTTAATGTCCTTTTTTGAATTATTCTGGTGTCGTTTGGTAGTTGCACAGTTCAACAACAGCATAATTGGTGACTAGAGTGTGTGTGTGTGTGTGTGTGTGTGTGTGTGTGTGTACCTGTCCATCAGTAGGAGATGAGCCTGAGGCAGGAGCATGGTTGTAATCCTGGCCTAGTTTAGCAGCAATCCCAGGATTGGGGTCATGAACCAGTAGCAGAAAATGCAGTGTGGGCAAAAATGTTTCCTTGATAATCTTGTATGTTGTGTCATATTGTAACCTTATGTATGAACTCTACATTGCAATATATATAGTAGTGCACACTGTGAACAATTAAGTGACCTCATAAAAATACATTTGCTTTATTTGGTCATCTTTGTACATATGGACATAAAGAGGCAAGCTTTTAAAAAAACAAACAAACTGAAATTAGGTCTGTTAAAACAATGCTATGGGTATATCCACAGGATAGTAAAGTACAAGTATTGCCCACTACACTATAATTTCTGATACACCCATATTTTATTCCACTTGTACATCAGGAAATTGAGGCAAGCGTGACAAACCATAAACAAAGTCATATCTCATTTGCCACTGCCTGCAAATCTCAGTAACTTACAAATTTAAAACTAAGCATCTATATTTCGAGTAAAGCATATATTATATATGCTTTTGTACAATTCTGTACAAGAGGCTGAGCTGTTCATGTGCACTGTTTTAAACAGTTTCTTCAGGAGCCTTCACTGTCTGGCTGCAGAGGTTGTTACTGCAGATGTGCGACTGCCACACAATAGTCCTGGGGTCAGGAATGGTTGGTGGAGTTTGCATGTCCTCCATATTTATGTACTATGACTATTATGAAAACAGAGAATATATGTGCAGTATTTCAATAGTACTTCTTTATACAACAGTTCTAATCTAATCTGCATTTTATTCTGAGAACCTAAAATGAATACTACATTAATGCACAACATACGGTATGTTCAAAACTATTAGCAACATAATGGAGCCTAAAACATACAACAATGTGGGCTTTGCAGTAAAGAATTACTTGTAACACTGTACACTAAAATATATTTAGTATACATTACAGATTGTACATGGTATCACTTACTATACAGATATACAGTATGTACAAGTTTATTATATCCTGCACCGAATGGTTTCTTTAAATGAAACCATAAAAAGAAATATAAAACTTTGTGCTCCCTGGTACATGGGGATTCATATTTACAAAATATTTTGAGACAGGGATGAGTTGCTTGTCTTGAACGGCTGGTGTGGACGCCAATCATGTGCAGCTCTGACCTTTTAGCACACTGAACAGGTCTTGGATCCTGAACCTCCACCACTAGGGTTGTTTGCAGAAGCTGGTGGCCAAAGGATGGGGGATCAGGGGGAGAAAAATCAATACATTTGGCTTAACCTTTTTTATGTTGTGGCTAGTGTTGCTTTCGTCAACGAAAATTATGACTAAATATCGTCGTCAACGAACCTTTATCGCGTGACGAAAACGAGACGAGAGGCAACGAAAATGCTGGTCATGTGATGATGACTATAATTAAATATATAATGCAATATTGTTCACGATAAAAAAACAAGACAAAATGTTATAACGTTATTTTGTCTCGTTTAGTCGTGTTGTTATTATTATTTTGCAGTATTTCTGTTTCCTGTGTCTCGCTTCAGGGGCCGCATCAGACGCGTCGCACTGCGCAGACGCAGGCAACATCACTTCCTTAACCACCACTCGCGGCATTATTTAGAAGATGACAACAAACAAAGTTAAGTCTGACACAGAGAACGGGATAGATGGCCGGCCAACCGGGGTTCGTCATTGGGAGAAAAAGAAGAAACGACATTTGGAAAAACTTTAATTACATAGAAGTGGAAAAGAAAACGGAATTTGTTGTGGAAAAAGATGGGGAGAAATGTGGCCACAAAATCACACAAAATGTGTATTGGATGTACTCTTGAGTCTATAAGGTAACAATAATATAATAAGATAACCTTGTTTGAAATGGGTTTGACTAAAAGAAACGTTTGGTTTCATCTATACTACTAGGTACTTATACTCTATAGACTGGGGTAAATAGAATTGCATTACTAAAAAGAGACTAAAATGCAATTTTCATTGACTAAAACTAGACTAAAATGTCATCAGTTTTCGTCGACTAAAACTAGACTAAAAAGAGTATGAATTGACTAAAACTAATAAAAACTAAAATGACAGCTTCACACAAAGACTAGACTAAAACTAAAAGGAAAACAGGCCGCCAAAAACAACTATAGTTGTGGCTAACATCTGGTTCAAACCAATAGTAAGCATGTTTTAGGTTCAGTGTTCCTTTGGGTGTCGGTACTTCCTTCACTGCCATACTTTGAAAACACTATCAGGTGATGCAAAATGGCACGGCCCATTTGAAATGAGTGTAAAACAGGGTAGACAGCATTAGTTCTAGTACATTTTATAGTTGTGTGAACCACTGCACCTTTTCTGGCCATGGCAGCCTTCTGCTCCTCTATGGCTCTGAGTTTAGCTTCATACTCTTCTTTTTTAGCGTTCCACTCCTTCCTGTTATTTATGATGCCATCCAGCATGGGCTGGGTTTGTGGGTGAAAACGAGAGAATTCCTGAGCAGAGGAGACAAATTTTTAAAAAGTTCAATGGTTTTTCATATAAAACAGTTTAGGTGAGGTAGTATTATTCACACTTGTCAGTGCTCCAGTGAAAATAAATGAGAATTACATATATGATCTATAGGCCCTTATGTTTTCAGACGTGCCTTGTACAAAATCGCACAATAGTAAGTAACAATATTATAATGGATCCAGAAATCCATACAAACATACTAAATAAATTACTACTGTTAGGTAAAGAGATAAAAGGAACAGTTTAAAGATTACAAAGATTACCTTGTAGACAAATGTGCAGACAAAGTCAATGATTACCTTGTAGACAAATGTGCAGACAAAGTCAATGAAACCACACTGTAGCTTTGGAAGCTCTGCTGCCTTGGTCCTGTCCATCATGGGCTGGTGAGCCAGACAGAAACTGTTTGTAGTACTCAAAAACACCACATCAGTTCAGGACATCAGTGACAACTGCCGCTTAAATGATTGGGATCAGTATGGCTTAATGCTTCTGGCGTTATATTAGTATGTTTCTACATCAATGCAACTTTAAATTATCAATGAGCCAGGAAGAAATTATACCCCATTACTGAGAAGTTTACAGTCTATCAGATGAATTTTATGTTAATATTGCTGTTTTCAGAAGCTTAATGAGTTCAGTGCCTGAGATTTTAGAATCTCTGAAATCAGGGCTTGATCAACAATTGATATTTGTGTATTTGGTTGAAGATAACAGATGATGCCACCAAGGACTCATACACTAAACAATTCAACTCACAATGGGCTGCTGTTCCAGCACTGTCCTCTCAAGGTCACCCTGCTCCCAAAACTCTGCTGCTACAGACAAGGCAACCTAACAGATCAACACAAACAAACACACAAAGTCATCTTTAGACAAGCGGCTCACAAACACTCAGTGAAATTTATTACAACACTTTCTGCTTCTCACCTTGCTCTGTACCTCCCAAGGCTTGGTGATAGCAGACAAGTCGCATGCCGTCATCATCATAGCCCTGAAATGGAAAAGGTGCAGAGGATTAGAGAAAAGTCAAGAAACAGAGAACAGCATGTGCTTGTTGTACTCACATGACGATCTCTTTTCTGGTTGTCTCTAAAGACATGAAGTCGACCCACTTCTTTTCATCCTCATATGTTTTTGAAAGGTCCACAATCTTCTGGAACATGGTTCTTTTCCTAACAAGGTATGAGGAGCAGAACTATTTTGCTAGTGTATTTTTATTGTACAGACATAAGAGACTGAGCAAAATGAGGGAATGTATAAGTCGGTATAGAATGAACCAGTGCGAAGCTGTTCTTACTTGAAATAGAGAGCCAGGTCAGTGGCGATGATGGCAATGTCTGTGAGATGAATGACGTGGTCCATCTGTCGTCTGTTAAGGTTCTGGTAGATATTCAGTGACTGCAGATGAGATAAAATATATGTTGTGACTGGAGGATGTGACAAGGAGGACATTTCAGTAAGGTATGAGTTAGGTTTCGTTATTCTTTCATTCATAGCTTCTTTCTCACCTCATCAGCCAAGAGAAACTTTCCAAACTCTAGATGGTGGCGTTCCAAAATGGAGGAGCCATGGAGCTTGGCCAAAGGGTTACCTGATCTGATGTTGTGAATAAAAATGCTCAGAAATCAGTTGGATTAAACATGAGATTAAATTGGTAACCCTGTTTCTTCCAGACATGCACTGCACATATATATCTCAGTTAAATAAAATTTATTTGCAAAGACATCACAGTGGATTTTATTGACCTGAAAAAACTTAGAAAAAATCAACTGGACTAGATTTCTAGGTCGAAGACGTTTCACCTCTCATCCAAGAGGCTTCATCAGTTCTGATGCCTCTTGGATCAGAGTTTTTTCAGCTTACTATGACCTGGATGACTGAGAATCTGCACAGACAGTGGATTTTATTGTTGTCAAAACTGCATTATAAATAGATATCCATGCATCTGAAATGCTTGAGATGAAATCTGAAAAGCTTTGAAAGTGAACCTAACATTACTGATCTGATGACATTGATGCATGGATGCACTGCACCATGAATGCAGACATTGTTGAAGCAATCTTTTAATAGCCTCCTTCCATCCATCATCTATACCGCTTATCCTGAAGAGGGTTGCTTAAGGACTAGAACCAATCCCAGCTGACTATGGGCAAGAAGTGGGGTACAACCTGGACAGGTCACCAGTCTATCACACTGAGATATCCACACATATCCACACTCCTACGGGCAATTTAGAGTCCCCAATCAACCTAAGCAGCATGTCTTTAGCTGGGGCTCAAACCCGGAACCTTCTTGCTGTGAGGCGACAGAGCTAACCACTGTGTCACCATGCCACCCTCTTTTAACAGCATTTCCACAGAAAAATGATGCAACTTTGACTAAAAACCAGGCATTGTGTTCACTTCAAATGATCTCAAGCAAGTGTCAAATCTTGGTAAACTGATTATCATGCTGTACCAAAATTAACATAAGATATTGAAGATCTGAAAACTCTACATACATATACATTAGATAGAAGATGAAACATGGGCAATTATCGCATTTTTATAGCACTAAGACAAATACTGCAAGACTGCATTCAGATACTGTGTGATTGTTGTACAATCTCTGAATGCGGTTTTCCTTAAGTCACCATATTCTTTCAGTTTAGGTTGGACTTTTTTTTTACTACTAAGAAATAAAAATGTTCCCAGCAGCACTTACTTGACTTGATACAAGTTGTTTGTCCCTCTGTGATCAATATCATGGAGGAATCCTGCAGTTATCATGGCCATTACTTCCAAGTCAGTGTAGTATCTCTTTAGCATTCCCGTCTGAGCACACAAAGACACACAGTGTTCCAAAAATACACAAATTCATAACATGGTAGAGTGAACCAATGACCAAAATGTTACTGTCTTGTGTTTTTCAGACTTTTGAACATTTAAATAACTTGTACTGTGAATGGAGGCTGAAACAGCACACAAAAGAATACCGTTAATAGTGTAAACATAGTCTGTCCAACATTGAAGCCATGACGCCAGTTGTGGTACGTGATTCTCCTGTAACCTTTACTGACTGAACACATGAAACGGACCAGCACCTGAAAGGAGAGGAGACGAGGCTCAGTTAGTCACATACACTATGGACAGGGAGCTTGTGAAATCAAGATATAACCTGTTGCCCATAATTTGAAGATACAATGCTTATATGTGTGTGTTATTTCTGTGTCTACATCACCTCTTGAGGGACCTGGAACTTTTTGACCACCCCGACTTCATAGTACATCTGGATCCCGCACTTCACCAGCTCCATCTCTGTGCAGTTGAAATCTGAAAAGTGAAACTCGTAGATCTCAAACTTCTTAATCAGTGGAGGTAGGTCTTTTTTCTGGGAAAGAAATAAACAGAACAAAAGCAGTAAGATAAAACAAATTAGATAGTACTCCGTAATTAATACCACTGGCAGACACATGGAAGTGACAGATTATTTTCTTGTTTATAGAGTATCACACTCACAAATGCTTGACCAACTCAAATCTTCCATATACTTCTTAGGAGACCAATTAAATGGAAAGATGCTATGTTACAGTGTTGTGTTACCAGGATAACTAGGAGCTCATCCTCTTCACACTCTCTGGGTTCGCAGCCATAGACCTCTCTGGTGTTCTGGGAAAGGTGAGAAAACACTTGGGGTTGCATGTTTTAACAGTAAAGTGAACATGATACTGAACAGAATGTGTGTAACATTAAACTTTTAGATGCCGGATCAATTCTGGTGCCTAAGGATTAGCATAGTTTGAAATGAAACTAAAGTCTCTTCATCCTGTCATGAAAAATTATAAACATGATAGATAAAGGACAAGACAGAAAGTATTTTGTGTACAGTGGAATTTTGGATAAAGGTTGATAAAATCTAAAGCTATGAAGTACTGACCAGAATATTCTGTATCTCATCATCCTGACATTTGACATGGTAAAGCACCATGTCCTGGGCAATGTCTTTCCGATTCTCGAGCTTATTCATTTTGTCATATGTGTCCGTATTCAAAGCTGACCAACCCAGGAACTGGGTCAGAGCCTGAGAAAGTGGGAAACCAGAAGCAGAGGATCAGGATCGGCACATTATGTTCTGTATGTACAGTACTGTAATATCAGGAGAGGGTGGTATTGTGAGGTGTGCTCTTTTATTTGAGAAGAACAGTATACAGACAAATATAGGTGATGTTCTTCACTTTGTTCAGCTTGTTTTTTTTGCAGTTATACCACAATGGAATGCATCACAGGGACTATAGTATATACTGTATATATAGTATATCAATTTAGGTTACATGCTGTAAAAAAAGCACTTCATCATATGTCAGAATTCTTTATAGGAGCGATTAATATTACCTCCATGAGCTGCTCATCCTGATCGTCAAAAGGCTTTCCATCTTTTCTGTTGTAAAAAGTGGCCACACCAACTATCTCCTCTTTTTTGTTGACGATCGGCAGTGAAAGAACATTTTTTACAGTCCAACCGCTGTTGTCAAGTGGCTCAGTCTGCAACATTGGAACAAGTGAAAATGTGATGCTGTGTGAACCTCTGTGTAATCCCTTGATTTTTTTGTAAAGTCATCTCTTTTCCCTTCAGCTGTGTTTGAGTCTCTAACCTGAAACCGGAACATCTCATCAGCAGCTGCATCCATGATGTTACAAATCTAAGAAGCATAAAAAGAACAGACTGGTCAAGGAGAAAGATGTGCAAATGGTTTAATTTGGTCTTATCAGATTCAACAGTGTGTTGTAGAGTATAAAAGGTAACTCACAAAACCACTCTCAGCAACGTAAGTAGGCAGGCCACTACTCAAGGCCCAGTGATCAGCGGGTGGGTTGCTGTGTGATGAATTGGTGAAGACAAGTAAAATTTGTTATCGTTTGCTTTTATGCCAAATAAAAACTTTACATACTTTTTCTTTCAATTAGTTCTGCATATTAAATAACTAAGGCTGAATCACTGGTACTTTGTTGTCGTATTAATTCACTACCGTGCAACAAATAACTAATCAGACAAAGGAAAACTTCAAAACACTTACGGAATGACTTTGATATCTTCTTTCCCGTGTAATATATAATCAATCACTTTGTAAAAATTTACCTCCTGGAGGAAAAAACATAAGATTAGAGTTAAAACAGTTCTATAAAAAACACCAAGGGAAAAATCAAGAATGCAGATACAGTACCTACTGTATTACCAAGCAGAGTATATATGATAATATTAAAGCTACAGTATGCAACTTAAGGTAGCATAGCATGAAACTCCAAATCCAAATCAATCCACTCTGCTCCAACCAGCGCTCCCTCTCCCCACTCCACTGTTCTCTGCTACAATCTGTTACACTCCACCACGCTCTGCCCAGCTCTTCAGATATTTGTGAAATTACAAGAAATGAGAATGCACTTAAACTTACTGATCAAGCAGAAATAGTTAAAAATCTGATTGATTAGAGAGATCAATCCCACTCAAAAACTAACATCTCTGTACTGTTGCAGTGCTGTTCAAAGAGTCTGGATTACAGGAGGCTTCGACAGCACCTTTCCACAGTAAGGCAGGTTTTGGAGAATATTTCTACAGTTGCATATTGTAGCTTTAAGTAAACCAGTTAAACGAACGTACCCTGCCATCAGGAGTTACAGGGCCAGAGTACGGCGGTTGCTCTCCCATCAACACTGGCCAGACGTCAAAGAACTCCTGGAAAGAGAAAATAAAGTTGGAAAGTCCATTGCAATAAATGCAAAATGTGGGTTATCACAGGCAAAAACAGAGCAAGATGCAATACCTTCTCCTTTGTCATGTCTAGTAAACCAACAGAGTAGCGGTCACAGTTTAGGTAGGCTCGGACCGTATACAAGGCTTTGTGAAACTGTCGCTCAATGTCTGTGAGTTCTTCAAAGACTTTGTTGGCAGACCACAGCAACAACTAGGAAACACACAGTCAGCGTTTGGTACCAAATAAGTAGACTGGAAAGCCAAATGTTGAGACCACTATGCACAGGTTAATGTTGTTTACCTGTCCTTTACGTGTCTCACAGTTGTGGAGGTAACTCAGGTAGTAGATCTTCAAGTTCAAAGTGGCAATTTTTAGATACTTTAAAAAAAGCTAAGTAGATAAACAAGAGAAAAAAATAGCAACTTAAAGACATGATATGACATAATATCACAACAAACCTTCTCATACTTCTTGTACATTATGACATCTGATCATGATGTGGTGGTGTGTGATCATATACAGTAGGATACTGTACTACCTGCACAAAAACAACGGCATTGTGTGCTTTGGGTCGCTCAAGTTTTGTGCACACTACAGAAAAGTAAGGGAGCTGTTTATCACCTGTCTTTTACAGTTCTTATCACAATATGATATACTATTAATATCACCAAAGCACCACAATAAGAATCTAACTGGCAGAAATAGTTTCAAGTATGTTGAGGTCTGTGTACCTCACACTGCTCTGCTCTGAGTTTATGTGTGCTTTGAATGTGTGTGTGCGCTTTGTGCATCTGTGTTTAAGTGGTTGGGACTCACATCTTCATCCTCAGCAGTGAAATGTGGTCCTGAGGTCTTGTTCAGAGCCATGATCACTGCCACCATGTCTTTACCATTGAGAATGGGCATAGCCAAAATGTTCCTGGTCTTATAATCTGTGAGTTCGTCGACAAATGAGCTGAAGTACTGGTTCTGAAAGACAGGATGAGTCTTTTTAGTGCACATATATCTGTAAACACACTGGTGCACACAGATATTTTATAATTGTTACATGTCAGTACTGTTACTGTGCACATAAAAACCTGAATTTACATATTTGAAATGTTTGTTTTAGGCCTCTAAAGTACAATATACTTGGAGAGAAAGAATTACCAGACGTAACTTTTTCAAGATTTACAATTACATTGATCAACCAACTGGTTCATGAAACTACAATAAACGGCCACAATATATGTTTAGCTGGGTATCTTTGAAAACCTGATATTAATGCCCTCTCTATTAAAATTTTTATAATATGGTGTTGTATGGCTGCACTGCACTGAGTTAATGTGAAGTGGTTTTGATCTGTTTTAGATTCTTGCTGACTGAATGCCAGAGACACCTAATCCACAGCTAGAGCAGAGGCGGATGGGATCAGGAAATAAATGGATTAGGTCTGACAAGGGGATTTACACCCTCACTTGGTCAAGGATAGGTACTGTACACGTCACCAATTCTTCTTTTACACGTCTACACCCAACAGGTGTTGAAATGTAAACATATTTTTCATAAAAAGCATGAAAGCATACCATAGCCACACGTTGTATCATTGTAAGCATTTAGTTAAGTCAAAAATGTTTTCAGCCACTCTCCCATCGGCCACCACGATCCTTTAGAAACACACTACTTTTAATGAATTTTGATTATTATTTGAAAGTTGATACAAAAATAAAATCACTGACTTTTTAAAATTTCCCCAAACTGAACCAGATATTTTCAAATGGTGCTGATATTGTTACACAAAACTGTACCTACATTTACCACCGCAGGGTGCGTAGGAAGGCTGCTTCCATCCTCAAAGATCCCACCTACCCCCAGCACGGACTGTTCGCCTCCCTGCCCTCTGGCCAGAGGTTCAGAAGTGTGAAATGCAGGACCACTAGACTGAAAAACTCTTTCC